TATAGGTTGGCATCTTCTTTTCCCTGGCTGCCCTGAGAATTCTGTCTTTGTCATTGATTTTTGATAATTTTAATACAATGTATCTTGGAGAAGGCCTTTTTGAGTTGAGATAATTGGTTGTTCTGTTGACTTCTTGAATTCCAAGCTCCAGCTCATTCCTTAGATTTGGGAAATTCTCGTCAACTATTTGTCTGAAAAAGCTTTCTAATCCCTGCTCCTTTTCCTCACCATTGATAATGCCCATTATACTTATGTTTCCTCTCCTGATGGTATCAGCTAGTTTCATTATTTTTCATTCTTCGGTTTCTCTCTTCTTCCTTCTGATTTATTTCTAGATTTCTGTCTTTGATATCACTGCTCTTTTCCTCTACTTGGTCGACTCTATTTCCCAAGCTTGTTATGTCATTTTTCATCTCTTCCAGTTTGTTCTTCATCTCCAGAATTTCTATTTGGTCCTTCTAAAGAACCCATTCTGCTCATCTAGTTGTTTTTTCAATTCCTGAAATTGTTGATATGAATTGTTTTGCATCTCATTGAGTTTTTTCAGAAGTACCATCCTGAATTATCTGTCATTTAAGTTGCATATTTCTATGTCTGTTAGCTTATTTTCTGGAGATTTTTCTTTCTTTCTTTCTAATTCTCCACCTAGGCATTAATGGGAGTGTATTCTGTTTTTTTTTTTTTCCTCCCCAGAAAAACAGATTTATGATATAATGGTCCCTAGTCTGTTGTAAAGAAGGTGTTTTTCTTTTGGTTTCCAGAAGGTGGGTTCTAAGCCTCTTGGATCTCTGCTTTATATGTCTTAATAATGCCTTTTTTTTCCTTATAGATATTCAATCACTTTCACTACCCTCAGTCTCAGTCCCTATCAATGTTAGCAATGGGTTTGGTAGCATTTGCTCAGATTTCCCTGGGCTCTGTGGTGTTCAGTCTTGGAGGATATTGGGGGAGGAGCCCTCTAGGTTAGGGGATGGGGGCTGTGGCTCAGCCTGGTGTTTTACAACTGCAGCTGGTAATAACTATTGTTCTCTGCCGTCCCTGCTATTCTGCTGTCTCTACTTCTGCTTTCAGCCATGATGCCTGGGCACTGCCCCTGGCTGGCCGTCCACAGGTAGGGCTGTTCAGGGAACTCGCTGAACCTTTTCCTCTTTCCCCTCGTCCTATAGGAAGCTCTGGCTATGAGAGGCAGCTTCTTTGTTTCTCCTAGTCTACCGCCTAATTCCTGGGTTTCTGACCTGTGGTAGTTCTTATGCGCAGATCCCATGCTCAGATGTGCTGATGTGCATTTTGTGTGTTTTTGTTGAGTTCACCTTATTGTTGTTTTAAGGGGAGATATCTGGGGACATCTCTCACTCCACCATGTTTCTGACATCACTCTTCACTGTGGTTTTGATTTGAATTTCCCTAATGATTAGTGATGTTGAGCATCTTTTCATGTGTCTGTTGGCCATCTGTATGTTGTCTTTTGAGAAATATCTATTCAGTTCCATTTTTTAAAATTTAATTCTTTGGTTTTTGATGTTGAGTTTTATGAGTTCTTTATATATTTTTTATTTTAACCCCATATTATATACAGCATTTGCAAATATCTTCTCTCATTCAGTAAGCTGCCCTTTTTTCTTGTTGAAATATATGTGTGTGTATCATGTCTCTATATATTTATAGTTGATTCATTAACATTGGACTCAAGGCCAGTAGCACTATAACTAATGTCTGCACTAAGTTTATCTAACATACATTGTTTTCTTCATAAGGCACATTACACTTCTTGCACTTAGGTATACTAGATAGCACTTCAGGCTTGGAGAGCATTTTTAAACAGCAAAATCACCAACAAGAAGGACGAAATTGCAAAAAATGTGGCACTAAATAGATCATGAGAAGGACATTTGTTTACAGCATGGGAGCTGAAAGGGGAAGGTATACCATAGTCTTGCTTAGCCTCAGCTGGGAACAGGAACCAGGCACCACACAAAATTTTTGCCACTTCAAAAGCTCTTCAAGTATGGACTTGGGGGTTACAAATCAATTTTTGTGAGCAGACAAGTTCACAATTCAGAATCAGCAAATAAAAAGCATCTAATACACACACACACACACACACACACACACACACACACACACACACACACACAATTTAAATGTTAAAGCCTTTGTTCTTTCACCTTGTTTAACCCCAACAAAACAACATGTGAGAATAAGTTTCAAAGGGGTTAAAAAGGTACCAGAGCTAATGACTGAACTTTGGTTTTTTTCCTTTATTTTAGATATACATATAGTGAAATCCTCCCTCTACCCTTTATCGGTTGGTGTACAATCCCATGAGTTTCAACACGTGCACTGACTCTTCTAAACGACTACCATTAACAGGATACAGAATAATTCCAATGCACCAAAAATTTTTCCCAGTCCGGTCTCTGGCCAATCCCTTCTCTTTCTCAGACCCTCCTCCAGGCCACACCCCTCATCGTAGAGAACCTAAACCTAAATGATTGGTATCATGTTAAAATTCTTTTTTCGATGGCTGGGGTGGACTCGGTCTTGAACCGGTTTATGAACTCCGGCCCCGGGCCCAGTTGAGTTCAGTTCACGCTGGAAATTTCCCTTTTGCAACAGCATATTACCAATTTAAATCTGTCCTCAATACTTTAGCGTCTGGCTTTATCTTTGCCAGTAATCACTATTATTACCCCCACTTTACAGATTAAACTGACGCTTAGAGAGGTCGATAGACTTGCGCCACGTCACACAGTCAACAAAAGAGCTGAGCTTTCCCTTACCAAGTCCTCTGGTATCCAAAAGGCCCCGAGAGCAGCGAGGGCCTTTCGGCCCATAGGGGGAGCAATTTGCAAAAGCCTTTTGGTCGAGCTGCGAGCTTTCAGTGGAAGAGGAAGTGGTGCAGAAGCCGAGAGACAGCCTGCGCCCCGAGAGACAGCCTGCGCCCCAATGCAGCGTGCCCTCACCAGCATCCTGCGCCTAACACGGCTCTGGAGGCCCCTTCAGGCCCGCGGCTGCTCCTCGGTCGGGGCGACTGGGGTCCCCGAGATCCAAGTGCACGCCCTGGCGGGCCGGGACCAAGGTGAGTGCGCTGTCCCGGTGAGCACCCAGGAGGCGGAGGGGTGGGCCGGGACCCGGCAGAGGAGCGCGGAACCCAGCGCCTGGCACTAAGGCCAGGGCCGAAGCCATGGCCAGCGCGACCGCTGCACATGGAAAGACTCAGACCAATAGGAGGAGGCAGGTCGCTCACTGCGTTTGAGGATTTGGTCCCCAATCACTTGTATCCCAATCTAGGCTTCCCAAGTCTCCTAAGGATCGAGAGTGGGTGACCACCATACTGGCCGCCTCGACCCTAATTGGGGTGGGACTCTATGTCAATATCGGTCCTCTCAGCCCCCCCATTCGGTGGCCTGGGTTGTGAGGAAGAGGAGAGGAGTCTCTCAGGGTAGGACTAGGCACCAGCACCCCACCCAC